CTCTCTCTCTCTCTCTCTCTCTCTCTCTCTCTCTCTCTCTCTCTCTCTCTCTGTCTCTGTCTCACTGGAGGTGTTTTAAGCTTCATCTGTTCAACCTAGTGCATTAATTATAGAGATGTGCATAACTACAGGGAGCAAAACAACTTTACAGTCAACCGCAGTTCCACTAGTGAGGGAAAGTAGATCTGGCACTTGAGAAACATAAATAGAGTTGCAATAACCACTGATAGGGGATAAACAAAACTGTGTAAAAGAATAAGTAAATACAAAAAGAGTGAAAACTAACCTTGAAGAAGATGGAGGTAAATAATCTTTTTTTATATATTATTATAAAATTTTAAGCACCAGAGCTAATTAATTTCTTGATTTTACTGAAAAATGCACTCACTGTCAGGCCATCCAAGATGTAAATGAGTTTGTTTCTTCATGGGAACAGATTTGGAGAAATGTAGCATTGCATCACTTGCTCACCAATGGATCCTCTGCAGTGAATGGGTGCCGTCAGAATGAGCTGATAAAAACATCACAACAATCCACAAGTAATCCACACGACTCCAGTCCATCAATAAAAGGCTTGTGAAGCAAAAAGCTGCATGTTTGTAATAAACAAACCTGTCATTACGGTGTTTTAACTTTAAACTGTTGCTTCATGTGATGACGGGGTGTGGTTTTTGAATTTATCACATTAAAGGAACAGTTCACTTCTAGAATCAGATTTCCTGATAATTTACTCAGCCCCATGTCATCCAAGATGTCCGTGTCTTTCTGTTTTTAGAAAAGCAAAAGAAATTACGGTTTTTGAGCAAAGCATTCCAGGATTTTTCTCCATATAATAGACTTCAACGGGAACCAATGGGATGAAGGTCTAAATTGCCGTTTCCGTGCTGCTTCAAAGGGCTCTACACGATCCCAGCCGAGGAATAAGTGTCTTATCTAGCGAAACCATCTGTCATTTTCTTAAAAAAAAAACATGTATATACTTTTTAACCTCAAATGCTCGTCTGATTACGTAATCCCGTCTGAAAGGTCAAGTGCGGTTAGCTCGTCCTCTGTGTACTCCGGTTCAGAAAGGTAGGGTAGGGCGAAAAACTCATTTTCTCCTCCAACTTCAAAATCGACCGACATCGTTGTTTTACCTTTTTTTTGTAAAGGGTGTTTGACTTTCTTTGCACATCCGCTTTGTAAATGCTGGGTCGGTGCTTACGCCTACGTCACGCGTGACCTTTCCAACATGACTACGTATGCGTTATGTCGAGCTAGTGCGCGACAAGCATTTGTGGTTAAACAGTATATAAATGTTTATTTTTTTTAAGAAAATGACTGATCGTTTCATTAGATAAGACACTTATTCCTCGGCTGGGATCGTGTAGAGCCCTTTGAAGCTGCACTGAAACTGCAATTAGGACCTTCAAGCCCGTTGGTTCCCATTGAAGTCTATTATATGGAGAAAAATCCTGGAATGTTTTCCTCAAAACCCTTAATTTCTGTGTGACTGAAGACAGAAAGACATGAACATTTCAGATGACATGGGGGTGAGTGAATTATCAGGAATGTTTTATTCTGGAAGTGAACTAATCCTTTAAGGCTAGCCTAAGTGCAGATATGTCTTTATTTTACTTTACTTTATTTTTGATATTCTTCCTTATTTTAATATTATTAATGTGCAGATCTTCATCTTAACATTAGGTTAGGGTTAGGATTTACGTTATATGGATCTATACGCACCCACTGAACTAAAAAAGGTATAAGATGGATGGATCACATCCACTTCAAACACACATTTGAAGTTTTCATTTGAGGGGGTGAATGACTTTCTGCACTGATGTGAGTCTCTCTCCATTTCTCTCTAGTGAGTTGGGGGGTTGGATGGCTGTTACCTTTAATCCAGTGAGGCGTAATAATGGCAGGCTGATGCTTGCTGGAACACTGGGATCTTGAATCACTCTGTGCGCTGAGAAAATGTTAGTCTGAATTATTGAACAAGGCCTCTCTGAAATTACGGCACAGAGCATCACGCAAGCTCCATACAACAGTATCTTTTTTTCCCAGAATAGAGAGTGAGACAGCATGACTGTGTAAAAATGAATCAAAGCACCTACAAGTGTGACACCAGACAAGGTTGCGACTGATCAACTGCTCAGTAGAGTTCATCTAAATCAATTAACTGAATTTGTTAGATTTATTTATATAGACCATTGGTGAGTCTGCAGTTTAATTTGATGGAAATGGTTTATTGTGTATATTTGTTAAACCCTATTTACTGTGTTACTGTGTATTGAGTGCTACTAAGCATGAAGGATAATCATCTGCTGACATATTATATAAACAAATTTGCTTCCTTGAGATGTTATATTTATTTAGTTTTACTGAATAATGCAACAGCAGCTGGTTATTTTTTATTTGTGCTATCATTATTAATTTCTTTATTTGTTCTTATTTTATTACTGACTGGTTACATGTCATTTTTTATTCAATTCAAAGTTTGAAATCAAGCTATCTCGTGCTACTGCACCAAAATTACCCCACTGTAAAATTAAAAAAACACTGAGTGAGCAAAAATTTGTGAGATAGCTAGTTATAATGGTAATAATGTTTACATATGTATAAAAGAAAATCTGTCATATAAATTGGTCTCTTCATTAGAAATTAGCCTACTGATTGCCACCATTGATGGACACATTTTTTTAATAATATAAAAAATATCTGTATGACATTATATTCTGCAGTTCTTCCCTGTTGCACTGAATATCTATACTTTTCAAATGATCATATCGAAGTTAGAAATTCAAATATTGTGACAATTTATTTTGTAGGCTGCCACAAGTTTGTTAAAATTTCCAAAGGGTGCCGCGACTAAAAAAGGTTGGGAAACACTGATTTAACCCATATAAAGTGGTATAAATTAATGTATTTAGGTTGATTTAGTGATATTAAATATTTTTGACATACGCAAAACCATTTAATCTTTTTTAGATTACCTTTTTTTCAGTGTGCATAATTTATATACAATAAATTGCAGATGTCAAAGATTGTAATAGGGACAATTTTGAGTTATGGTTTGATTTTTGATTTTGAAGAAGTCACTTTTGACCACTTTTAATATTCCTTTTCATAATCTTTCAAAGTGCATAATTTATGTGAATAAAATCAAATAAAAAAAAACATTAACTATATGTGAAATCAAAATGAACCCTATTAACTTTTTAATTTGCACCTGTCTGATCTTTTTGTGAACTATCGCATGTGCATGTTATTCAGAAAAAAGTTTTTATAAAAAAAATCTGAGGTCTTCACAACCTCAATCAAAGCTTCCTTTCATGCTGACATTACTTGGCATCAGCCCACGTGGACTATTGGATCATGTAAACCAGTAGCCAAATGTCTCAATTCTGGAAACGCACACTTCTCATGATCCAGTCAATCACTTATAGATCAAATTAAACCACGCTCTGCCTTTTTTTACTCTGAAATATATCCCATTGCAGAAATAAAATGGGGGGCCAACAGCAATTTTGTCACGCCCCTGGACTCTTTTTGTTGTGTTTTCCCTCCCCAGGTGTGCTGTGTTCCCTTTAATTAGTCATTCCTTGCACCTGTGTTTTCCCAATCACCCAGTGTTTAAAAGCCCCAGTCCTTTCAGTTAGTGTTTGTCGGTCCTCGAACGTCAGTCTATGTATTCCTGTGTCTCCTACGTACTCCTTGTGTTTGGATTAGTAGAAGACTGTGGTTTGAAGGTGTCTCCTCGTTTCGTGCTCCAAGTGATGTGTGACAATTTTACATTGATTGTAGATTATAAATACATTTAATATAAGGATATTTTTCAAGAGAGGTGAGTCTTTGGACAAAGGTAAAGTTCTATTTGTTTGCAGTGTTATTCTGATTGAATGTTCATGGAAGAGCATCAAATCTCATTAGTCAGCTTCTGTCAGGTGCAGAAGAAATGTGGGTCATGCGCGCACACACACTCAGTGTGTAATTGATGGGCGGGAGGAGTGTGACGGCGAGCGATTGATGCATAATGGAAGGGTTAAAGCTAAACGGCCTATATTAACACCAGTGACCTGTGAGGGACAAGTCTTTTCTCACTAAAGGATATGTGGATGTTTATAGCCAATATCCCATCTAACAAAAACATGCTCTAAGAACATTTTGCTAACGTATACCCATTAAGTTATGAAAAACGTTATTTCTTTCTGATGTTCTCTAAACATTCAAAATTACCAGGTTTTTTTTAACAATTTCTTGATTATACAAATGTTACAAGAACGTTCCATTTGATCATTTTACAAACATTGACAATGCTACCATATGTTCTGAAACAAATGGTAAGTAGTAAAAAATAAATACAATTAAAAAAAAAAATAGAATAAATAAAACTGCATGAATGATGTATAAATGTTTTAGTGCTGATGTTTTGAGAACATTATAGAAGACCTTGCCAAGAGAGAACGTTAGCCAAAGTTCTGAGAATGTTCCATGGGGTATTTTATTTGTATGTATATTACAATATGCTATAATATTATAAGAGAGAAAAAAAATCAGCAGCTGCAAAGATCGAAATAGAAAAAATAATTTATCGTTTATCCAATAATGGCTCAATTAGAGGCTGTGTCTGTGTTGATTTATGTCGTGAAAGGCAGCAGCTGAACTCTTTGGGGTGTTTTATTTGTATGTCAGCAAAGACCTACTGCAGGGAATGTTTGCCAGGACGACTGCCAGAACGCAACTTTACAGGCCTGGCATTGATCCATTACAGTTAATTTGATACACAACCAACTACAGTAGGGTATCCCGAAGTACATTACAAATACATCATCCTCTATACATCTAATACACTTTAGGGTTTAAATAAATCTGTAATAACCTCATTTTGATCCTTTATTATAAATTTCATTTATTTTCTATTTCATTAGATTTGCTGTGACTGTGAGGGTAAAGCTCAGCTGTGGACTCAGATGTATGTTTGGAGAGCTCTGGGGTGTATGACAGGGAAACCCTCCCCTGAGACTGTTTTGTCACAGACAGCTCGGAGCTTGTCTCTGCTTTCTAGACCACTAATGATCACTAGCTTCCTGTAGGACACAATAGCATAGAAATGGCCTCATTTTAGAAACACATGAGTGCAGAATGTACTAAAATTGCTTATTTTAATTAATGGTTGAGGTAATTTGGAAATAAAGAAACGGATCTAACAAATTTAGTCTTTTTTTTTTTATACTCCCCTTCATTCCAAACCATATGCTGCTTTTTCTTTTCAAAGGAGAATAAAAGATTAACATTTTGAAGAAACCAGGAATTATCAAGATCTACAATAAAAAAAAAATAGTACATACTGCACTCTTAAAAATAAAGGTGCTTCACGATGCCATAGAAGAACCTTTTTGTCTAAATGGTTCCATAAAGAACCTTTAACATCTGAAGAACATTTCTGTTTCACAAAAGGTTCTTTGTGGCGAAATAAGCTTCTTCAGATTATAAAAAGGTAAGAAAGAGATCTTTTTTTTTTTTTAAAGAACCTTTGACTGGATGGTTCTTTGTGGAACCAAAAATGGTTCTTCTATGGCATCTCTTGAAGAACCTTTTGAACCACCTTTATTTTTAAGAGTGTGCTTATGTGGTTAGTCTTAAGAAGTTGTGTGACAGCCTTGCATGAGAAACAGATCAAAATTTAAGACATTATTCCTTGCACTGTAGGAAAGATAAAATCCCTAGAAAAACAGAAAAGAACTGGCAATTTAATTTCTGGACGTATCTTAAACCTTAAAACGCCAGCACAATGCAGTGTATTGGGACACACCTGTGAAAAATCAATATAGAAAATTTTCTGACTTTTACAGACTTTTCATAGAGTATAATATTATTTACATGTGCCACATTTACACAATTTTTGATGAGATAAAGGTAAATAAATAAAGAATTTTTGTTTTAATCTATTCCTTTATATCAGACTGGGGTTCACGACCCAAACTGCAGGGGATTTGTGAGCTGATGATATAGTAATTAATTTAAAAATTTTATTAAAAATGTAAAATAAATGGTTATGATAAATAACAAAATTACTAAAAAAGGTTGAAATGTGTTATTTACCTGTATGTTATGTGACTATTAACCAAGATCAAAGAACCGTGAATGTGTTGTTAACATTATTGACATATTAAAATTTCAGGGGGTACTTCTAGTAAATATTTCAGGTAAAAGGAGTTCAGCTGACAAAAAAAAATTGTGTGAATCCCTGCTTTATATCATAAACATGTTTTTTGGCTATAGCAGTTAGCGCACATACTTTAAGTCATAGTGCTCATTTACTGTATGAAATGTGAGTTTGAACCTGACTTGTGACATTTCCTGATCAAATTACCCCCCTCCTTCCTTTTCCATAAAATTTCCTGTCCATTTAATACTATTTGAGGAAATGTATAAATGGCAAAAAATACAACAGTCATAATGCATTTTTGCTTTAGCTTAGTTTTGACCCTTTTGTCCTTACAGTGAATTATAAAAAAAATAATGCTGAGCTAATTGTGTTTTCTCAAATGCACAGTTGAGCACTCAGGGGGTCACTGAGTTCTAAGACACAGTACAGAAGTGGCGGAGGCTTTGCACAACAAACAGGCGCATACTTCTAATGTCCCAATACACTATTTATTATAGTCAGCCTATTGATTTTCTCACTGCTGTCTGTTGCTAGTGTTGACTCAACACCAAAGACTCAGCCTTTCCTGACCACAGCACATTTGTGTGTGTGTGTGTGTGTGTGTGTGTGAACTGGCAATTTAATCATGCTTCAAGTCCTTGACATGTCATTAAGAAATCAGGGCAGGTGGTCCAGACTGGAGACAGACTTCTAAACAGCTCTCTCTCTCTGTGTGTGTGTGTGTATGTGTGTGCGCGCGTTTTTGTGACAAATGAGGACATACATTTGTATAATGACAAGGGTATGACATAGGTATTACAAGGAGAAGGTGACTTTTCAGGACATTACCCCATGTCCCCACTTTTCAAAACGCTTATAAATCACACAGAATGGAGTGTACTGAAAATCTGAAATAGCACAAAGTTTCCTGTAAGGTTTAGGGGTAGGGTTGGTGTAGGGCAATAGAATATACGGTCTGTAGAGTATAAAAACCATTACGCATATGGGATGTCCCCACTTTTCACAAAAACAAACCTGTGTGTGTGTGTGTGTGTGTGTGAAGATGGCTCTATAAATCATACCCCCACCATTAAGCTCCAGAGATGCTGCTTAAAGCCAGACCATCTGACCTCTGTCCGCTTATGAAAACAGGGTTCATCTTAAACAATGAAAGGAGCATCACCATCTATTCACTCAGTGATCTTTAGTCTTTACATTCATGTTGTTTCTTATATCTTAGAATTTGGGGACATATTAAATGTTACAGTATACATTAAACATGAACAAATGTAGCATATTAATAAACACATGCATTGTCAATACCAATTGTATTTATTTATTTATTTTTGTTTATTTATATATCCATCCAAATAGCAAGTTTTTAAATCCTGGCTGGAATTTGTACATCACAATGAGACATAATACAGAAATATTAATGAAAATCTCTCAAAATCAGTCATCTATTTAGAATTTGGTAGAATCATTTGCATAGTGTGACGTGTCAGAAATATGGACTGTCTGTGTTGTGTTTTCCTCCCCATGTGCCTTCCATGACCTAGTTTTCCCTCGTGTGTCACATGCCCATATTTGGTTTCCTTCCTGTTATTGTTTCATTGAGTCCAGGTGTCTTGTCATCCCCTC